CTGGGGCTGGGGGGACACCGGGCTCTGCCCAGCACAGGCAGGGTGCAGGCAGAACCGGGGTGGTGCAGGCACCGGCGCTGCCCGACTGCCCCGGCCAGCAGCGCGCACAGCCCTGCCCGGGGGCAAAACATGAGGGGGCCCGGGGCAGCGCCGCACAGCAGGGGCTGTGCGAGGGGGTCTCTGCCCACGCTGCGGGGCTGAGCCTTGGGCACAGGGGAAGGCGCTGCCCTGCCCCACGCTCTCCGGTGCAGGGGGGCTCCTGTCCGCACTTGCAGGCAGCCATGGCCGCGGTGGGACGGGCAGGCAGCAGGCAAGCAGGCAGCAGAGGCAGAGGCCTAGCCATTATTGCTGTTGAAGGGCACGGCTGGAGGCAGACAGGCCCTCAGGAGGTGGCGGGGAGCCGGGACGCAGCGGGCTGAGCCAGGGGCGCAGGCGGAGGCCCGGCGGGTGCCGAGGGCAGCAGGGGCAGGGGGACGCCGTGCCGTGGGCTGGGCTCAGCCCTGGTGGGATGGAGCGCGTCTCGGGTCAGGGCAGAGCCGCCCCTGCCCCGGCCAGCCCAGCCTGAGCAATGACAACCCGGGGACCCCAGACGCTGCCCACGCCGGGGGGCTCGTGTGACCCCCAGCAGCAGCCACCTGCCTGGGGCAGGGGACACGGCTGCCAGGGCACGGCCAGTGAGCGGCAGGGGCCCCGCTGCCATCAAACACCCCGGCGTGGGGTACAGGATGGATGCGGGGCCAAGAGAGATGGTGCAAGATTGGGACGGTGCCGAGCTGAGGATGGTGCCAGCAGGGCTGTGCCCGGCCGCCCCGGCAGGGGCCGAGGGACAGTGCTGGCAGGTGGGGAGCCCCGGGCTGCTGCAGTGCAGGAGGGGGACAGAGGCAGAGTCCGGGGCCCCTCGGCCTCGCCTGCCCCGGCCTCACGGTGCTGGGCAGGGAGGAGGGAGGGGCGGGAGGGCTCATCAAAGGGCACTTTGGTCTCTGATGAAGGCAGTCCTCTCGCTGTGGGCCTCGTCCTCCTCACCGTCCGACTCAGAGGGGCCCTCCTCCTGCCAGATGTCAGAGGGGAGCCCCTTGTAGGAGATGATCCCGCTGTCCAGGGCGTAGACCTTCACGCCCCGCAGGCTAAAGCCTGAGCGCGCCTGCAGCACCAGGAAGACTGCGATGAAGATGACAACGATGAGGACACAGCTCAGGCTGGCGACAAGGACAGGCAGGTTGCCTGGAGGGGGGGCCTCAGCCAGCCCCTCGCCGTCCGCCAGGGCAGGGGATGCGCGGCTGCTCTGCGTCTGGTGGGAGCAGGAGAGGTCCAGGCTGCTGAAGTGGGAGTGCGCGGGGCAGGTCAGGCACTGGTTTGGGCCGGGCCCCGCGCAGGTGGCGCAGGAGGGGTGGCAGGGCAGGCAGAGGTGGGGCGCGATGGGCTCCACGCTGTTCTCCAGGTTGTAGTGCGTGCTCTGGATGCCGGGCGCGAAGCCGGGAGGACAGCGCTTCAGGCAGCTCTTCTGGTGCAGGTAGTATCCCTCCTCGCAGACTGTGGGAGAGGCAGGGTCAGCGCAGCAGGGGGGAGGCCCTGCGCCCCGCGTCCCCGTGTCCCCCCTGCTGGCCCCACACTCACCCACGCAGGCCTGGCTGGAGGTCAGGGTCTTGCAGCCGCTGCTTTCCAGCTGGTTGGAGAGGCTGGGGGAGTCGGTGGCTGTCCCGTACAGCACCAGCGTGAACTTGGTCAGCGTGCCTGCAACAACATGGGGTGAGGACCACCGACGTGCCCTGGGCTCAGAGGGAGGCAGCGGTGAGGGCAATGCTGGCCCAGCCCTACCATAGTTGTTGGCATCGCTGGTGTTCTCGATCTCCAGCACCCACTCCCCAGAGGGGTCCTCATCCCACGAGTGCGTCGTCATGAAGGCCCAGTCATTGAAGCCGTCGGCCGAGAAGTCGTGGGGCCTGGGGAAAGCGGGGTGAGAGGTGGGTGCCAGCGTCCCGCACACCCACTCGTGCCAGCCTGGGCCTGGGGCCGCCCCGGGGCATCCTGCAGCCTGGCACCTACCTGGCGGCCAGGAGGGTGGAGCGGGTGCCCATGGGACTGATGAGGTGGATGGCCAGGTCCCCCCGCCGGTTGTAGGACAGCGTCAGCCTGGCCTGCGCGTGCTCCAGCCGGCTGATGTAGTTGGCTTTCCCCAGGCAGGAGTCCACCTTCCGCCTCACCTCCAGGCGCTTCCCGATGTCCCTGCCGAGGACAGGCAAGAGTGAGCCCAGTCCCAGCCCAAGGGCACGTCACAGGGTGCCCCGGCCCCGCTCCCCGCTGCAGGGATTCACGGCTGCTCCAGGAACCGTGCGCTGTGCCCCGGGTGGCTGGAACCTGAGGCAATCCTGCAATGGCTGGTGCCTCCCCTCCATCCCCGGATGGGGTGCAGGCAGCAGATGGCCCGGGCAGCGCCCAGCCTTGCCTGCACGGGCCTGCCCCAGGTCCCGGGTGCAGGGAGTTTGCTCTGCCGAGCACGCGCTTCCCGGTGCCACCTCCCCGGCCGCCGCTCTCTGCCAGCCCTGAATGGGCCCTTTCTTCGCCTGCCACAGGGCCGGCTCCACCCTGCACGGCACGGCCAGGGATGGGACAGGCACAGCCATCCCCATCCCACCGCTCATGTGCGGCTGTTCCCCCCCACAGCTGCCCGCGGCGCCGGCCCTGGTGCCAGCGCAGGATGCTGGTCACAAGGAGTGCCCGCTCTGGACGGGCAGGGCTGGGTCCCAGGGGACCGGGGCAGGGCAGCGGGCAGAGGCAGGGCCCAGCCTTGGCTTCCTCCATGGCCAGGCATGCTCCCCCCGCCCCGAGAGCGCCCCGGCCGCACACGAGACTCGTCACACGCTGTGCTGCGGCAGCGGCGGCCAAGCGGGAGTAAAAGGAGCTTCTGTCTGACCCCTGAAAAGCCCCTCTGTCTGGGGATGACTCGTGCTGGCTGCTCCCAAACCGCAGCGCCCCAGCCTGCCCGCACCCGCGCCGTGCCCGGCCCAGCCCTGGCAGGAGCCAGCAGGCTCAGCAGTTGATGGCGCCGGTGGAGCTGAAGGCAGCTTTCCCGGCTCTCCCCAAGCTCTCACAGGAGGATGGTCCAGGGTCTCGGGGGCAGCTCAGCCCCAGAGATCCTCCCCACTCCTCGCCCTGGACCCAGAGGTGCCCGGGCTCCTGTGCAGGGCAGACACTGGGCAATGCCCTCCTGGGCCCACCAGCCCTTACTTCGGCTCCGTGAGGACGTCGATGACACACTTCCTCTGAGGTCCCACCGTGGTCCAGTTCTTCGCCAGGCTCACCATGGCCCCGGCATCCAGCAGGCCATAGCCATAGGAGTGGCTGACTGTGGACAGAGAGGGGGTCAGTGCCGCTCCCGGGGGTCCCCAGCCACGCTGCACAGCTCATGGGGCCTCCTGCCTCCTTTGCCGCCGAGGGCTGCGGGGGTGCTCTGCCCCAGCATCCCCAGGCTAGCAGTGCTTGCAGGAACAGGAGACCCTGGTCCACCCCTGGCACCCCAGTACCTTTGCGGCCAACACCGTTGGTGACCCAGTCATTGGCGTTGAGGTGAGCCGGCTTCGACGTCTGTACCACCAGGTGCTGCATGTCCCGCCAGGTCAGGTTCTTGCTGCGGGGAGACACAGGGCTCAGACACCGGCGCCTGGCTCCTCTTGGCCCCAGGCGGGTCCGTGGCCAGGCACCGCTGCCTCGCGGGGCTTGCATGGCCGCCCCAGCCCAGCCCCGCTCTCTGCCTGCCCTTACTTGGCTTCCAGGGCGAGGGCGATGATGCCAGCGGCCAGGGGTGCCGAGGCTGATGTGCCTGTGTGCGATTCGGTGCACTTCTGTCTGAGGTCAGTTGTCACCTGCAGGGAGAAGTACCGGGCTAGGAGGTGCTGCAGGCACTGGCCAAGTCCAGGAGCCAGCTTGGGGGTTTGCGTCCCACGAGGGCCACAGGAGGCGAGGCAGAGCCACCGCTCCTGGGGCAGCTCATGAGATTCCCTCCAGAAGCCATTAACTCATGAGACAGAGCCCTGGGAGCAACCTGGAGGGTGGCAGCGTGGCCAGCCCTGCTCCCAGCACCACAGCCACTTGGCTCCCAGTGGGACGCCCGCAGTGGCCACAGCTCCCAGCACGTCCCACCCCCATGAGCCCCTGGTCTGCAGACACTGACAGCCCCAACTCACGATCTGCTTCTCGTTCTGGTTGCCGCTGCTGTAGGTGGTGGCGAGGGTGGAGGAGCAGGCCTCGCTGTACCAGGGCACGTTACCGTACTGCGTGGTGCTGCTGATGGACAGCGTGTAGATGCTGTTGGTGTAACCGTCACAGTTGCAGCTGTCGTGCTCACGGCCCCCGTTCCCTGACGCCCAGACGAAGATGGAGCCCAGCCCCCCTCGGCCCTAGCAACAGAGGCAGGGTGAGGGCCAGCACCACCATTACCCGCGCTGCTGCAGGGCGGGAAGCCCCAGGCCGGAGCCAGGGACGAGGGGATGGTGCTGGCCCCAGGGCTCTTGCAGCCTGAGCGGGAAAGACTGAGCAGATGCAGCCGGGGCACCGGGGGAGAGCGGCACGCCACCGGTCAGCCCGCCGGCCCGGGCGCCCAGCACCCCCCCTCCCTCGCCACCGCCATGCCTACGGAGATGCCGAGGCAGCTCTGCAGAGGCTGCCCCAGCAGGTAAGGCACGGGCACCAGGAGGCCCTGCTGAAGGAAGGCTTCCAAGAATCAATGTCTTTTTCCGCTCGGAAATCACGCAGGCTGACTCTGCCTGTGTGGGATTTGCAGCTGCCTGGCAGCGCTGTGGGAGCTCAGCAGAGCAGTCCTGACCGGCTGCTCAGCACCCAAAAGCCACAGCTCCACTCACAGCACGTGTGACAGAGCTAGCGGGGCACAGCAGGGCGCGTTTGCCAGCACGCCCTGCACAGCAACACGTCTCTGCGCAGGGAATCCCAGGCAGCACGTGGGGCACATGAACCCCGC